ATCTAAAATCAATATATTTTCTCAAGTTGTTTATTTCTGAATCAATATTTGAATTTTCTAGGTTCAATACTTCGCTACATATGTTTATGTTTAAAATCTCGGATCCTAAAATAGTTTAAATAATAAATATTTTAAAATTAATCGGTCTTCTTGAAATGCCAACAGCAGTTTTGAATCTCATGTTGGTTTTGGAAAGGGGCCTACATGGCTTTTAACTCAGCCAAACGTAAATCATTTTGATCTTTTTAATGAGATTTGTGATACCAGTCGACTTCACGACATACACAATTTGTGTTTTGTAAGGGGGTAAAACAATAATTTTCAATTAAAAAATACATCCTGGTAGTTGATTCTGATGAATTGTTTATGTTGAAAATATATTCTAAGCTTTATATTCCGACTACTTCGCTCAGGAGAAGATAAAGTTTGTCGGGTGATCTCTCTTTGATTACATAGTGACCATGGAGACGGGATAGGGAAATAAAACATGCGTACTTTGTTTGTAAAATAAATAAGATTAGGGGGAAATAGTACACATTTTTTTCAAAACATTCAGCATAATCAATGATAAGTTAAACCTAGATCGCTGCGCGTGACTAAGAAGTCTTGGGTTAAGAATGAGGCGCGACATGAAAACAAGTCGACATTATTGCATCTTCATGCAGTCATGCTTATATAGAGACTATACTACGAGCGGGAGATTTTCGTACCTTTTTTTGCAACACAACACAAAAAAATTTATAATAAATGGAACATCTACATTTAAAAACGTATTAAAATTTGCGAAATCTATATAGAATCTTGTTTCTTTTCAATGAATGTGAGTAGGCCTAAACCCTGATGTAACGAAGAAATTTGAATCATACGAAAAGTATAAATTTCAATGTGGCCACACCTTTTAAACAAAATAAAATAACGTTCTATTTGTTCATTTTTTAATTTCCTTTTTAATAGTATGAATTTAATTTTGTTCAAAAGGTGTGGCCACAGCAAAAATTTGAACCAAAGACGAAAAAAATGCTTTATTTTGATGAAAAGTGGCAAAGTGCAAATGTTTCGACGTTTTCTGCACAAAAATGACGTCATCAAATGAAAATTTTGGCGTAAACTATTCAAGTATGATACCTAAGGATAATATTTCCGTAAATAAGTTTCTTCTTCCCCTCACTTTATTTTTCCTAAAATCATTGGGCCGATTTAGCACATTCGTGGATTTATCTCTTTCTTTTTTGACTCCGATAAACAAGTTACAACACAAATGCTAGGATACATGCAAAAAGAATATGCTACAATTTGATCAACATCTTACAGGACTTATTCCATAATTTATGAACGATATACTTAATTATTCATACTAAAACGAAGTCGGGATATCCTTTTCCACAAAATGTAGGACTTGAAAGAATAAAACTGTGATTTCTGTCCGATAAGATTCCCAAGCAATTTGTGTGAAGCTGGAAGATACTCAATAACATCTTTACATATTTCACAGATATGATAAATAGAATAAAAACAGTAACGCATATATTTTCGTTGTTTCTGTGAACAGCTTTTAAGAATATGAAATAAAAAAGAAATACCCGTACGAAACAGTCCGGGCGGCTTGGACACGGCTCAGGCACGGATTCCGTCTCCAGAAACACGTGCTTTAGCATCCCGTGCTCCTATGTAAAGTATGTATGGAAAGCCGTGCCTAAAAGTGGTCGAGGCACGGACACCGCACGGGATATTGGCCGAATTAATTAAATGAGATCACACATGGGCGACTTCGATTCATACCCGAGTATTAACTCTTGGTTGACGTCACATGACCAGATGTTTACACAAACATGTGGTTTTCAAGCGAACTCATATAAGTTTGAAGGGTAGCGAAAATAAAATAAATTTCCTCTATGGGTTTTAAAAGGCGGTCGAATAGGTCCATTTTGACATCATCTGTTGAGTTATTTTTTTCTGTAGCTTTTGCTGCAGTTGAAATGTTTTTCTTTTTCAGCTCTGAACTTTTTTGGTTTCGAATTTGAATTTATATTTCTGCTGTTATCGGGCAGTAAGCCTGAAAAATCTAATCAAATAAACATTAAATCATATAAATTATAAAGCGTTTATGTATTAAGTGCGTTTCGAAGTTTGCTTTTAAGGATAAGCGATGCTTAACATAATATTTAGTAAAAAATAATTCCTATGTTCGGGTTTTTCTTCGACGCCGCCATATCGAAACTCTAGTAATCCTACTGCATGGCTGGGTTAGCTTGGGTAGAGTTCATAAGGTCATATGACGTATTTTGAGTAGTAACTATGGTCGTTCGATTGAAACTCAAGTAACTCGAGTACGTACTCGGGTACGAATCGAAGTCGCCCACGGTTTTACAAAACCCGTGTCAGAAAGCCGTGCTAGTTTCCATATATGGACTCCTGGATTCTGTAAACCTGTGTCTGAAACCCGTGTCTTTTCCATATATGGAGACACGGTTTTTTGGAAACCCGTGTCAAAAAAGTCGTGCCGTATACCATATAAGGAGTCACGGGACCTGTGCATTTGTTTAAATCTAGGTCATGGCCTTTAGAGAATTTCCTGATGTTACTGTGGACGCCAAAATCGAGACTGAAACCAAACTAATTTCACGTTGCTTTACATTAATGCTTAGTTTTAGAATTTCAGAAGTTAAAAATCTTATACATGTTATATGAATGTGTCCATTGACTATCTGTATAAGATTTACTTTTTCAGTTACAATCCATGCTAGTTTTTAATTAAGATTTTATTGATAATGTACAATATTCAATTGTAATTTAATCTAGTAGGTAAGTTTGCACAATCTGAGAGAGAATTTAGTTTAAATAAAACTTTCACTAGCTAGCAAAGTGATGTCACATAAAATATATACTAAAAAGGATTAGTGAAAGTCAACTAAAGTCATTCAAATAAACCTAAACTATTTCATCATGTTCATTGTCAACATTGCTTTACAGGAAGATCATGAAAATTGAAAAATTGACTTATCATGCTTATTTATTCTAGATTGTAAACACTTACTGAATTTAGTTCAAAAGTGAAGAAATTATCCCAGAAATTATTCCAATTGATATCTATTAGTTTAAGATCATTGGAACTAAAGCAAAAAGACACATTCTTAGACAATGACCATGAATCCCTCCAATGTGATATTCAAATAAAGAAAGTTATGATTGAGCATGCTTAGTATAAAGCCGTGAGATATAAATAAATAGTTTGAAGCAAAACCCGCCTGAGTTAAAAACCGTCTCCCTGGGACACGGATTCCGTGCCTCCACACGGGTTTCTGTGAGTGAGGATTCCCCACTTTCAGACACGGAAGCCGTGTCCGTGTCTTGGACATGCAGAATCCGTGAGGCTTTTGAAAAACCCGTGCAGATTCCATGTCCTAGCCGTGCCAAAGCCGTGCCTATTCCGTCTTGAACTTTTGTGCGGGTTAACGTACTTACAGATTTGTTTGGGAAATCACTAGTAAATGTCCATGGCGGTGCAATATTATGACGGAACTGGTTTACTAAAAATACACTTAAATATATACCTGTAAAGATCTTGTCTGTTATCATTGAAATTCGTTGGTTGGGCCAATGAATCTATTTTTCGAAACTTGAACCCTCTTTGTAGGCTGTATTGATTTATTTATCAGATTTTTTTTGAAAGAGGCGATGGGACGAATACTGATACATGTTTGTGTACAAGTGAAATGAAACAAATAAAAATAAGCACAGGCCAAGATATTATAATGATTTAACGGTTATTTTCTCAATGTCAATTGTTGATGTGGTGACTCAATCATGGGATCAAATGATTTGTAAAAAATAATTATGATAATCTTAGCTTTAATTTAACAATATAAATAGTTATTCTGTGAAAATAAGTTACATTCATCATCATAAAGGAAAAGTTGATTCTTGCACTTTACTGTATTTTAAATGGTAATGTTCCTTATGTCTATATATACAATTTATCATTGAGTCAAATGCTGATTGACGTTTTTTATGCTAATTGTTAATCCATTATTTTTACACTGAATTGACGACAGATGTTCCCGTTATTTCCTGATCATGACAAGGAGCACTCGGTGGGTGTGACCAGTTAGAAGGATGTGCTCACTCCTCCATGGCACCTGATCCCACCTCTGATGTTTTAGAGGTCTGTGTTTGTTCTTTTTCTGATTTGTATTGTTTTATGGAATTTGATATTGAATACGTTTGATATCTCCATATCCTTCTTTCATAACAAAAATTGGACTAATTAGGTTACACACAAGTGTTTCAAAGAAGGATTAAGTTGCGGGTGTGACCGATCAGCAAGGGATGCTCACTCCTCCATGGCACCTGATCCAACCTGCGATGTTTTAAATGTCAGTTTTTGCTATGCTTCTATTATTTTGTATTGTTTTATGGACTTTTGATCTTGGATACTGTTCGTTATCTCCATATGTTTCAGTCAACAAGGGAACAAAGAAAACAAATTCATTTAAATTCTTTATTGTCAATAAAGCACAATGCATATACATAAATTTGAATGTGTAGTTATCCATATACTACACAATTTTTAACTCTAGGAATCTTGCTTCTAATATTTAATCAGCATCTGATATAAAAACAAATATAAACACTCCCAGGATTGTTTTGTAGATACAAACTGATATGGATTAAGCAAAAAAGATTGCATTGAATACTTTTTTTCTAAATTCTAAATTCATAGGAAAATCAAGTAAAAATTGTTTTTCATTTTAAACAATAGCTTTATAAAGAAAAAAAAAACTATTTTCTCTATGAATGACAGGATTACAATATCTTCCTGTTTCTACATAAAACACGTTACACATTGAGATTCGAACCCACCACTACACCACTCGGGCGACTTTAATAATTATAAAATGCACACCTTATATAAAAATGTTTGAAATCACTTCTTTTTTTACTTATTCCTTCCTAAGTAAAATACAATAATAATTGATAACTATTTCATTTGCATGCAACATCTACAGATGCATTTCTTTTCGTCTTTGCCCCCTTCGGGAATCAGAAGCGGTGCTCTCTAGAAATTTTGATACACTTTTGAATTGATACACTTTAGCAATATCTAATGCTGTTAGTTGATTTTTGTCTTTGACATTCAATAAATGAGGAAAAGTGTTTACAAGGTATTTACACATATCTAATTTTCCATTCATACAACACAGATGTAGGACAGTTTTCCCATCATTTCTAGGAATTTCAACTTTAAGACCTTTTCCCAACATAGATTTGAATAATTCAATATTTCCAACCCAGGATGCCTCATATAACGCATTTTCGCCATCGTTGTCCTTGATATGAAGTAATTGAGGAAAAGTATTCACTAAGTACTTACACATATCTAATTTCTCATTCATGCAACACAAGTGGAGCACCGATTTCCCGTCGCCTCTCGTTGTTATAATGTTAAAACCTTTTCTCAACAGAAAATTAAATAAATCAATGTTTCCACCCCATGCAGCCGCATGTAAGACATTCGCACCATCAGAATCCTTAATGTTTATCAAATCAGGATAACTTTCTGTTAAATGCTTACACATAGCTAGTTTTCCATTCATGCAACAGATGTGGAGGACTGTTTCCCCGTCATTACTTGTGGTGTTTATATCCAAATCTTTTCCCAACAAAAAGTTTAACAAATCAATGTTATTGCCCCTAGATGCTGCAAGTAAAACACTCACTCCGTAACTGTCTTTGACATATAGTAAATGAGGATAGGTTTTGACTAAGTACTTGCACATCTCTAGTTTTCCGCTCATACAACATTGATGAAGCACAGTTTTCTCATCATTTGAGCTTACATTGATGTCAAAACCTTTTTCCATCAGGAATTTGAACAAATCAATATTTCCACCCCAAGCAGCAGCATGTAAGACGTTATTTCCTTTTCTATCCTTGATGTATAACATACGAGAATTATTTTCTGTTAAATACTTGCACATCTCTAGTTCTCCATTCATACAACAAAGGTGCAGGACAGTTTTCCCATCATTCTTTCTTGTGTTGATATCAAATCCTTTTTCCAACAGAAACTTAAACACGTTAAGGCTACCGCAGCGGGCTGCATCATGTAAGGCATTTATTCCGTCATTGTCTTCGATATAAAGTAAAGGAGGGAAAGTGTTTACTAAGTACTTACATATCTGTAGATTTCCAATCATAGAACAAAAGTGGAGTACAGTTTTTCCGTCGAATCTTTTGGTTGTGATATCAAAACCTTTTTCAAACAGAAATTTGAATAAATCAACGTTACCACCACATGCAGCTGCATGTAAGACATCCATGCCACCTGTATCTTTTATGTATAATAAATGAGAATAATTTTCTGTTAAATGCTTACACATATCTAGTTTCCCATTCATACAACAAATGTGAAGAACTGTTCTCCCATCATTGCTTGTGGTTTTGATATCCAAATCTTTTCCCAACAAAAAGTTTAACAATTCAATGTTACCACACCATGCTGCAGCATGTAAAGCATTCTCTCCATAATTGTCTTTGACGTCTATTAAATGAGGATAAGTATTGACCAAGTACTCACACATGTCTATTTTTCCGTTCACACAACATTGATGAAGCACAGTTTTCCCATCATTTGAGCTTACATTGATGTCAAAACCTTTTTCCATCAGGAATTTGAACAAATCAATATTTCCACCCCAAGCAGCAGCATGTAAGACGTTATTTCCAATTCTATCCTTGATGCATAACAGATGAGAATTATTTTCTGTTAAATGCTTGCACATCTCTAGTTCTCCATTCATACAACAAAGATGAAGTACAGTTTTCCCATCATTTGAGCTTACATTGATGTCAAAACCTTTTTCCACCAGGAATTTGAACAAATCAATATTTCCACCCCAAGCAGCAGCATGCAAGACGTTATTTCCAATTCTATCCTTGATGTATAACAGATGAGAATATTGTTCATTTAGATACCTGATCATATCTAGTTTTCCATACATACAACATATATGAAGCACAGTTTTCCCATCATTCTTTCTGGTGTTGATATCAAATCCTCTTCCCAAGAGGAATTTGAGTAAATCAATGTTTCCTGATTCAGCTGCCCAGTGTAAAGGAGACCTACCTTCGTTGTCATTATAATCCAGAGAAAGTAAATTTGGAAACGTGTCACAAATATACCTGACCATGTTCAGTTTGCCGTTTTGACACGCGTAGTGGAGCACAGTGGAACCTCTACTAGACCTACTGTAAGGGTCACAGCCATTCTTAATCATATTTTTAAAGGTTGTTTCGTCGCCAGCAAATGCAACTAAATGTAGAGCGTTCCCATCTTGATCATTTTGCAATTCAAGTTTGTTTATTTCTCCTTTGTGTTGGTCTGTATCTCTGGCCAGTGAATCTGTTCAAAAAGGAGGTACTAATATAATTATGGGGTTTTTTTTTCGGAAAAAGAACAAAAAAAGAAATCTTTAAATTGACTAGATTTAAACCATTTTTTTCAACATCAAGTAAAAAGATTTGTTTACAATAGATAACTATAAGTCAAGCATTTTGCCCGTACACACTGAATTTACGCATACAATACAGAACATAAAAACTATAAGGAAGACATGTCTTCACACTACCTTCACATTTAGCATTTTCAAACATTTGTATTGGCTTTCAAGTCAATATGGCTTCCCGTTTGCGCACAAATAAAAAAATACGATTGCATTAAAACTTTTTTGTCTACCTGTAATAGTAATACACAGTTTATTGATACAGTGATGTTAATATGTTATTTATTCGTACCTATAGAATTAAGTTTGACGATCCATTTCTTTTCCTGAACAGGGTCCATTGTTTGTGTCTTGATAGAGTCTACAGACATCAGATGTTTTGGACTGCCAAGATGACCGTCGATATCTTCCACAATTATGCGAATATTGTTGAATTCTACTTGGAAATTTGCATCGGATATGCCTTTATTGACAACATGTCCGTAATATCTGTTTCTGACGAGTCTTATACGCTCTATATTTGCCGATACACTTCTGTCTGTAGGTTCAGGATCATTACCCCAACCTTGACTGTGTGCAGGTAGGTTAGTCACATTACGTAGGAGAGTATAGAGCAAATATATATCTAAATCTGAATAATCTCCACTGTAGGTATTTGATGATGGCGGAAAAATCAAATCAGTTTGTGATTTATTGAGCGTATTTCTCGTATCTGACCTCAACCAGCTTTTAACTCTCCTGGACAGGTCGGCAATTGGCACTTCCTTTTGGAGCACGTCTCTCATGACGTCAGCACAGGGGCCCAGTATCAGGCGGGAGATCCGTGCTAAGTTTTTTGTTTCTGGTGTAGACGCGTACTTTGAACAAGACATGATCTTGGTTTACATTTATTCTATACCATTTCATTGATTTTCATCTAAAATAAGAAATATTGAACAATAAAATCTAATTTTTATTATTTATAATAACAGCAATTGAACTTTAAACATTTCATTCTTTCTAATTTTTTTTAAAAATGATTACATTTTTCTCAAAAGTTGCATTTATTTCTCATTTTTTTAATATTTTTAACGCAACGTGTAAATTTCGTGTTATATATTGTCGATTCATCCATAACACGATCGATTGCACTAACAATTGTCAAAATTCAAGTAAGTGTAAAGAAGCTTGATTGACAGTCACATTATCAATTTTAATCCATTTTTTTCAAAAAATATTTTAGGTCATTTGAGTCATTCAAGTAACCTATTGCAGTTTTTGTCCGTCGTTATTCTTCATCTTTTAATATTCGAATATTTTCAGCTTCTTCTATAAAGCAGCTGAACTAATTTTAAACAATTGTTTTATATCATCCACAAGTGAAGTGAAACAAACATTTTGATTGCTGTGGTTCTAGCTCCCTGCTCCCGTGGCCTAAAAATCAGGATTAAATAATACTACCAAAATTAATGCAATTTTTCCAAATCTACGTGATCTACCTGAAAAGTGCTTTTGGAAGATTTCAGAATCTCAGTGAAGCTCTTTGATGAAAACAATAACACCATACAATTATCTTGCATTTTGCAATCGACGAATGTTTGGTCCTCATTGTTCAGTTCGATCAAAATATGAATGGTAGTGCCGTAAAGGACCCACAAGAATATTTAAAATCCGGTATTCCAAAGATCATTTTACCTATAAAAAACTGCCAAGGTATATGGTTCTCAATCGCTTAATGTAGATCACCTTGTAAGTTAGATATGTAGTGTACTTTTAAAACACCTAGAGAAATCGCATAAACAGGCAGTTACGGGGTATCTGGGTGCAAATTAGACGTAATGAAAACAGATCTTATTTGATTTGCAAATGAAGCATTGACAGAACTTCAAATTTCTTCCAAAGACTCAATGTTCTGTCACATAAGTGTCTCAGCACTTATCTTGATATATACAAGCCTAAACATACAAATTAAAAACATAAATGAAATAAAAAAATCCATTTAAGTTAACACGAAAGCGAATTTTGTTTTCCAATGCATTGATTAGGGCATGCATACTATGACAAACGAGATATGTTATAAATTGATCAATACTAAACAGACATATTTCATTGTCCATGAACGCCATACATATTTGAACTCAAAATAACTTAGAGATATTCTATTCCACAAAAGAAGGACTTGAAACAAATAGACTATGATTCCTCTCTGATGAGATTCCCAAGCAATTTTTGTGAAGCTGCTAGTTATTCTAAATTACGTTTATAACATTTTTACAGATATGATAAATAGAAAAAAAGTAAATAAACATACAAACTTGTTGTTTCTTTGAAAAGTCTTTAAGAATACAAAATAAAAAATACGTACTTACAGTTTTCAATTTCTTTGGGAAATCACTAGTAAATGTCTATGGCGGTGCAGTGTGATGTCGGAACTGGTTTATTAAAAATACATTTAAATACCTGTAAAGGTTTTTTTTTGTGTTAGCATTTAAACTCATTGGTCGGAACAATAAATTTACTTTCGCGAACTAGAACCCTGTGTGAAAACTGTTTTGATCTATTCTTTGTTTTTTAGTTTTTCTTGAAAGTGGCGATGGGACAAATACTGATACATGTTTGAGTACAAGTGAAATGAACCAAATAAAGATAAGCACCAGTCAAGATGTTTAAATGATATAATGGTTATTTTCTCAATGTCTATTGATGATGTGGCTACTCAATAATGAAATCAAATGATTTGTAAAAAAAAATCCAAGCTTTAATTTGACAATATGAATAATTCTGTGAACATTAGTACCACTCATTCATCATAAAGAAAAGGATTACTCTTGTACTTTACTGTATTTTAAATGCTACTGTTCTTTATGTCTACAAATACAATTTATCACTGGGTCAAATGCTGACTAACATTTTTATAGTTGTTGTTATTCCATCATTTAAACACTGAATTGACGACGGATTTTTCCGTTATTTCCCGATCATGACAAGATGCACACGGCGGATGTGACCAGTCAGCAGGGAATGCTCACTCCTCCATGGCACCTGATCCCAGCTCTGATGTTTCGGGGGTCCGTGTTTGCTCTGATTCTGATTTGTATTGTTTTATGGACTTTGAGATTGAATACTGTTCGTTATCTCTATATCCTTCTTTCATAAAAAAATAGTGGACTTATAAGGTTACACACAAGTGTTTCAAAGGCTATGATGATTTCATTCTGGTTAACAGAATCCGACACTTATTTTAAATATAAAGAATGAAATATATGCAATTTTACCGGAATATCATTTATCATAAATTTCACGATTATTGATAACATAAATATTCTGCATTGAATGTTGATAAGTCATTTTACTTATAGAGTTTTCAGTGGGACCGGTCGGCAGGGGATGCTCACTCCTCCATGGCACCTGATCCCACCTCTGATGTTTCGGGGGTCCTTTTTCTCTGCTCTAATTTTGTATATTGTTTAATAGACTTTGAGATTGAATACTGTTCGTTATCTCCATATCCTTCTCTCCGTGTGTTTCAGTCAAGAAGGGAATATTTATTTATATTCTTTATTGGCACTTAAGCACAATGTATATACATAAATTTGAATGTGTTGTTAGCCATATATCACAAAATATTTTACTGTAGGAAGCTTGTTTCTAATATTTAAACAGGCTCTGATATAAGGACAAATATTGCTACTGCCAGGATTGTTTTGTTTCATACAAAGTTATATGGATTTAGCAAACAAGATAGTGTATTAACATCTAGTAACATTGAATCTTTATTCATAGGAAAATCAAGTAAAAATTGTTTTTCGTTTTAAACAATAGCTTTATAATAAAAAAAAAATATCTATTTTCTCTAAAAATGACAAGATTACAAAATCTACCTGTTTCTACATAATACTTAATTTGAAAAGATACCAAAATAAATTCTCATGAATTGAAAATCACAAGTATGGTTAGATTTCAAGTTTCTTCACATCATACTTTATAATGTAATGTAGAATCAAAGCTTACCGCAATGAATATTGCTAATGTGTTCGTGTTCATAAAAATTTTCAAAGAAATTTTTAAGTTGAGGAATAAATTTTTTTAAATCTGTGTCACTGAAAAATAATGTTAGTATAAAAAAACATGCCAGAGCAAAATGCTTATTTTATAGTATAAATTAAGATGCATTATAAAATGCAAACATATCAAAAAGTTTAATATCAGTTGTGTTTCGTGATCAACTATCCCTTGTTAAGAAAAAAAATAATAGATAACCATTTAATTTGTATGCAACATCTACAGATGCATTTCTGTTCGTTTTTGTCCCCTTTGGGGTTCAGAAACGGCGTTCTCTCAAATTATGATACACTTTTGACTTGATACTTTTAAGCAATATTTGATACTAGGTATTTACAAATGTCAAATTTTCCGTTCATACAACAAAGAGTAGCACATTTTTCCCGTCATTTCTGGTGGTTTCAACTTTAATACCTTTAATTTTCCTAACATAGATTTGAATAATTCAATGTTCCCAACCCAAGATGAATCATATAACGAATTTTCGCCATCGTTGTCCTTGATATAAAGTAATTGAGGATAAGTCTTCACTAAGTACTTACACATTGCTAGTTTTTCATTCATGCAACACAAGTGAAATACCGATTTTCCCGTCGCCTCTTGTGGTTTTGATATCAAACCCTTTTTTCGACAAAAAATAAATAAATCAATGTTTCCACCCCCATGCAGCCGCATGTAAGACATTCACACCATCAGTATCCCTGATTTTGAACATTTGAGGATATTTTTCAGACAACAAATGTGAAGGACTGTTTTCCTGTCATTGCAGGGGCGTAGTATCAGGGGGGGCCAGGGGGGGGCCTGGCCCCCCCACTTTTTCTGCCGACATTACCTTTACTATAGAAAATGTTTACTGAAAGGAAGGTTGGCCCCCCCCACATTTCAGCAAAGGGTAGTGTTAGAAAGAAAATTTACCCCAAAAAGTTCGAATTGAAAGATAGTTGGTCTTGAAAAAAGTTAGCCACTACCCCCCCCCCCCCCCCCCCCCCCCCCCCCCCCACGAAATAGGTTTTCGACTTCGGGCAACTTTAAATTTTTTTTTTTCTTTTTTTTTTTTGCTTGTCAACTTTTTCAGGTAAGTAAAAAAAAATTTTCTCAGGTTGGCCCCCCCACTTCCAAAAACGATGCTACGCGCCTGCATTGCTTGTGATTTTGATATCAATATCTTTTTTCAACAGAAAGTTAAACAAATCAATGTAACCACCCGAAGCAGCGGCATGTAAGGCATACACACTTTCGTTGTTTCTGTGAACAGTTTTTATGAATACAAAATAAAACAAAATACGTTACTGACAGATTTCAATTTGTTTGGGTAATCACTAGTAAATGTCTATGGTTGTGTACTATTATGACAGAACTCGTTTATTTAAAATACATTTAAATACCTTTAAATGTCTTTTGTGTTAGCATTATAACACGCTGGTTAGGCCAATAAATTTATTTTTTGCGAACTTGAACCCCCTTTGTAGATTTATTGATCTATTTATGAGATTTTCTTTAAAGTGGAGTTAGGAAAAATACCTTTACATTTTTGTGTACGAGTCAAATTAAACAAATAAAAATAAGCAGCACAAGTCAAGATGATAAATCGATATGTTTTTTTTTTCAATGTTGTTAATGCGGTGATTCAATCATGGAATCAAATGATTTGTACAGAATTCTAAGCTTTAATTTGACAAAATAAATAATTATTCTGTGAACATTAGTAACACTCTTCATCATAAAGGAAAAGTTTTATCTTAATGTACTTTAAATGCAATGCTGTTCTTTATGTTCATATATTTCATAACAACTATTTGACTAATACTATGATGACTTCATTTAGGTTAACAGAATCCGACAC